AAATCTTAGAGAATCATAGGTTCTGCATTATGGAAACTTTGAGACTGTGTAGTTCAATTGGTTTAGTTTACAGGTTCAGAAAGGGAGACTTGTTCAAAGTTATGTAAGTAGTGAGTGACAGACTCACAATCTAATACTATTCCAATTATTCCAAGTGCTCTACACTTGTCAAATAGCAGCAGAACACTCTTGAGAAAGGATGACCATATGTGATGTGAAGATGATGGTGATGGGCATTACACTATATTTTAGACCCTCATTAAATCACTTTACAAGTATCCTCTTGATTAATCCTCAGAACAAGCCCAAAGTTAGGTACAACTATAATCTCCATTTCAGATTAAAAAAAAAAACTTTTAAAATTTCATAATTAGTAAATAATAGAATTCTAATTCAGGAAGTCTGATTTTTGAGCTAAAACTCTTTTAATTGTATGAGATGCCGAAGACTCAAATGTTAGCAGAAAGGAAGGTGGGTGCCAAGAAGTACAATTGCATTTTTCTTGGGTTGAACTTGCATATATTTAATACAATTGCATCCTTCTTGGGTTGAACTTGAATTTATTTTCCTTCATTAGATATGGAAAGGTAATGTTTGGCTTAGAATTCAACATTATGTGATGCTTACATGTATTCTATATGGTTTCAACTCAGGTAGAAATGTGGAGCAATAAGTCAGAGTGTAAATGTATTGACTCCTACTATTGGACTAAACCTGAAATATTTTTTTTGCAGCAAAACTGTGATTTTCATGCATATAGGGAGTACTTATACCCCAAACAAAACATTTCACCCTTTCTCTGGTATGGATAACCATTATCAACATAAAATGACACCTTAGCCAAACAACAGTATTTAGTTTGCTTGATACCAAAATGAAAGAATAACTGACTCAAATTTTTCTAGTGATGAGATGCTATGAGTTAGTGGCTATTAATAATATAGTTTAAAAGAGATCTATATTTATGACTCCAATGTCTCCATCCAAGAAAGAAATAAATCTTGTTACTTCTACAGGTAAGTGGTCCACAGTGAATAGGAGGCTGAGTTCACATTTCATCAGTCATTCATTTATCTACTGTGCTTAATCAATACAAGTATGAGGCAATCTCAAATTTTTAAATTTCAATGATGTTTTCATTTCATTCAATTACAAATTAAGCAATATTTTAACAATCTGCTGAACATACACTCAGGGGATAAAACAAAAGTTCCCAATACATAAAAGTTTTATTTGTTGGAAAACCACATATCTTTAATGCATTGTTATATACACAGAAAGAGTGCTGACTATAAAATTTTTCTTCCACTGTAAAAAATTATAGGGTTTTCACATAAGAATAACTATTACCCAAAGGATATACAGTACACAGTTGCCCAAAGAACTTATATCCTGAGGTCTTATCCATCGACAAGCTATTTTGAGGGAAAGTAGTGAAACAAATCAATTTTATTTGTGTAATACTAGAATTTCTTGTGTGAAATATTGAAATTGAAAGAAAAGATCACAAAAGAACACAGAAACATGGGTGAAAAACAAGTTACAGACATAAGACATGAAAACACTCACTGTGATGAACTCAAAGCAAGAAAATGATCAATAAGGGTTAACCTAATAAGCTTAGGTAGATACAGTTTTGAAAGAGGTACATATGATTGATAGAATTCATAAAATGACAGTCTACAGGCCAAACATTCTTCAGAAACGATTTGGGGCTTGTATATTTGCTATTGTTTTTCCAACAGAGTTTAAAAATTATACTTTATATTTTTAAAATATATTTTTTCTGTTTTTCTTAATAAAGTTGAGATCACATTACAGAGAAGGAATAAACTAGAGTTTAGTAATTGCTGTCCATTACACAAAGTTTTCCAGTTTGCGCCTCTGCTTTATTCATCCTTTTTATTCATTTACATGACTAACCTGCCCCCTATAGTCAAGTGAGCTCAAATCCATTTAGGTATCACCAAAAAATTTAAAGTTGTGAAGGTAATCAATGACAGAATGTATTGAAATATTGGGTATCATTAGAGAGGTATTTTTTCATCCATCTCTTCATTAATTAATCTATTCATTCATTCAACAAATACTTGTTGAATATCTGATAAGTGCAAGAATTTAGAATCAGATCAGTAGATAAATATTTGGAATTTCTTTTCATTGAGTTCAAATACGGTCTTGCATCTGGAAAAGCTTGCCAAGTATGTAAAAGAGACAGCTAAGGAAAAAATATTGATGTATTTTAAGATATGAAATAAGCTCTTTTACTGACATGACATGATTGTCATGTCCTGTGATGCTTGCTCCTTCTGCCATGATGTCCTGTCTCATCTCAGGCCTAGAGCAGTGAAGTTGGCCATCTATGGACTGAGACCTCTGAAACCATGAGATCACACAGACAATGAGGGCCAACTACAAAAGGATCTTGGCAACTGGGACAATGAAATGGACAAGAAAAGTGGATGAATAAGGGAAGTAATCTAGAGAAAACAAATTAAGACTTTGTGTTGAAGTTGTCTCTAAGGGATGTTTCCTTCAAAAATAAATAAGGAGAAAATGGAGTCTGCAGGTGTTGCTCAGTGGTAGGGTACTTGCTTAGTACATGTTGAGGCTCTGAGTTTCATTCCCAGTACCGCCAAAGCGGAAAAAAATCATCAGGAACAAAAATAAGTAAAGCAAAGGGCTTGAGGACACAAATCATAAAAAGGTGTAAGTAGGTGACTCTGAGTGAGTGTTGTATACATTTGACAAGTGTCCATTCAAGACCATCAGAGATTTGAGAGGGAAGCTCTCTGAATCAAGAGCAGAGAAAGAGACTTACGCGAGAAAACATAAAAGTGGTAACTCAAACTTTGATAACTGGAAAATACTGATTTTTCAGGTATCCCCACAGAAAATTTTCTTTTTTTACCTCAATCCTTAGTAATAAATGTTATCTTTAAGAATATATAAAAGAATATGAAATAAGAAATGCTAAGGAGTGCTAATAATTTAAACAGCCCCAAATATGGGAAAATTTTAAGAAGAAAAGAGTAATCAATAATAAAATTGTGCCAAAAAGTATAGTTAAATAAAGATAAAAAAAAAACAAAGACCTTTGTACTTAAAAGAGACCAATAAAGCCACACTTCATCGTGGAAAACTGAGAATAAAGGGTGTAAGAAAGAAGGAGTGGTCAGAATAAAATGGGGGTGGCTATGGAGGGAAGTGGTGGGGTTGGATGAAGAGAGGGAGGTGGGTTGGTTATTCCATAGTCTATTAAGATGACCAGTGGAGAGGACTGAATATATGCAAAAGAAAGTTCTATTATCAGATAGTTCATGAGAATTCTCATGTGTTGGAAAGGACCCAATCCAAATGCACTATTTACTTAAACTTTAATATTAGAGCAGAATTTGGCAACTTTTTCATAAACCATATTCTCAAGGTCATTCCTTGGAAAACTAAACTAATTTTTTTCCATGGAAGTCTTCTTTAATTGACATCAAAATTTAGTGATAATGAACTACTAAAGAAAATATGAAAATCTGTTGATTCCCAATGCTGACTTGTTTTCTGGCTTTCTACTTGTGATCTTAATTAGAAATGATTGTAAATGTTTCTGTTCTTTCTCTCTTTCTCTCCTTCTCTCTTTCTCTTCATTTGTTTGGATCTTTTGCGAGTAATGTTGTTTTCCACAGAGGTATTTACTGTTGGGTCAATGAAATCAGCTGGTATCATTCTACAGAGCCTTCTACATATTCAATAATCAAAAGAAAGAAAAATTAAGATACAGATGACAGGATTGTGGCGTTCATACTAGGAAAATCATGTTTATTGCATTCCTTTGTGGACCTACACCCAATATGTTATTTCTTCCAATTTTGATGTTAGAGATAGCTAATGGAAAATCCATGTTCACCAGATAAGGATCAAATAACCTCAGTAAAAGAAAAAGAAAAGTTGAATGTGTTTGGTTATAAATGGCCTGAGTAAGATGTCTTATTAAGATATGTTTGTTTCATTTCTGTTGCTGTGAAATTAGAAGAAAAAAGATAAAACCTGCCATCTGATTATAGCTTAAAAATAAAAACTCCTTAAACTATTTTTTCTGGGTAAATTTTAAGCAAAATGTTTGTAATGTAATTTTTAAATGAAGGCACAATTCGAAATGGAAGCAAAACTGATTATAAATTACATCCTATTGCCATATACACTTCTGCATCTGGAATCTGATACAAAAATAAATGTTTATTGCTTATTTCTTATTCAAGTAGTGCATATACTACAGAACTAATATTTGAAAGGGCCTATCTATATTTACTGATAATTAAGATATGTTGCTTATTGGAAAATGAGAGTAGGATTCCCAAGTACATTTGTCATGCATTCTGCAAAAATGCATGGTTCAGTCAACTCAGTTTTTTTCCCATGATGTATGAGAAGAAATCTCAAGAGCTTGCTTCTTGAGGTCTTAGTTTACAAGTGGAGTTTCAGCAACCTTGAAGTATACCTGTGTCCAGCCTTCAGAGCCCATCTGTACTGGATCCAGGTATTCATTATCACCACCTCCAATTCTCTCTTTCATCTCCATCCCCATAATGGCAATGGCAATGATCACCCAGAGGTAAAGCCTAGAAAGCCTTATGATCTATTTTTTGTACAGTTAGGCTTAGGGATCTTGAAATTCTCAGCCTATCATGTCCCTAAGTAGAATTGTTATACAGAGTAATTTTGTAGAGACTTCTCTCTTTAAGAGTCATTATAGAGATTGCGATTAGGGAACACAAATCTTAGAAATCTTTCTGTTAATATAACAATGACTGATTAGAAGGTGACAAATCAATTATATGATCTATCCAAATAGATTACATATTCAACTGAAAATAACTAAAAATGACTGCCATAGGTCTGTATCTATATTATATTAAGTACTAAAGAAAGGACTCATTTTGCTAGGAATTCCAAATTTAAAACAGGAATACAGGATTCAAACAACTGTGCAACATATGGTCACTTACCCCTGCAAAGCTTTCTCTCCAAACCAATCTCCTTTTCCTAAAGTCCTAAGAAAGACTGGGTCTTCACTAGGTGAGTCTTCACGAGTAACATTCACCTGCAAAAAGAAACAATAAAGTCTAAGTCTGCTGCATACCCAGGAGGATCAGGTAAATAGCAATTGATAAGGTTAATTTCATTACTCCTTTTAAAAACATTTTTGTTAAAAAAAAAGAGTTTAGATTACCATTAACCAGTTCAAAGAATAATATCACAAATTCTAATTCAATGTCAAGAAATTATTCTAAAACATTTGTTACCATTTCAGGTTATATTTAAGAAATAATGCATTAGGTAATCTTAACTTCACTTACTCTTCCTCTATTCTCATTTTCTTATACTCTTAGGCAACCACTCTAATAGTGAGCATTCTATCAATCTATTTATATGTTCATAGATATGTTCATAGATATGTGAAAAATATATAAATAATCTAATCACAGGTATCATTCTGAAATGTATTTTTCTTTCAACATTGTTTTAATTATTTATTACATGCTTATTAATTTTAATGTATTAGAGTTTTATTGTATAAATACATTTTCTTTCAAGTTGGGCATTTGTATTGTTTCCACTTTTTTTTTTTTTCTTGCAATGAACATTCTCTACACACCTCTGCATGCACATCCAGCTTCTCTAAGAAATTTCTATTTCCCTCAGAAGAACCCAACCTTCATTCAAAGGCCCATTCCATTTTCACAAAGCCATACTGCAGGCTCTACTAGGCTATATAGCCCTTGTGATCCACATGCTTCATTCAACGGGATTTCTTTTTTAAAAGATATACAAATCACATACATGTCTTTTTTAACATAAATAGTGTATTCTTCAAAGAAAGGTGACTTTTTTGGCATTCTCTACAATTTGTAAGAAGTTCATAATAAATTGTCATAATTGTTTAACAGAAAGCTTCATTACTAACAAGATTTCCCAGCGCATACAGGACTTGCGACGTGGGTGACAACCCATAGAAGGTAAGTGCTTTCTTGTTGCGTGAACAAAGACATAAATAGAGTAAGTTCTACCTTTGTATTAAATCACTTCTACCTTAAGCTCTGTAATGTTCATAATACTGTCTATGTGTCATCCAAATGGTTAAATGGTTAAAATTCACCTACCCGGAAAATGTAATGAAGCAGAAAAACTAATTTCTTGAGACAATGCCAGACACTTAGACACATTTAAAAATACTGTGCTTCAGATTTCTGAATCTTAGGATTGGATGTCAATGACCAGAATTTTTATTAGTATCAGTAGCCTATGTAAGGTGGAAGGAATTCAATTATTATTCTCCACTGATCCATTTGATTACTCCTCTACACAGCATTTCAAACCATGGAAATTTAGTTTTTAACACTCTTATTTACTACAAAGCTATATCACAGAGACATTCATTTGCATAGTGATGAGGCATTTATAGATGTGGAAACTTTGGTAGGTTGTCATATTTAAAATAAAAGTTAATGGGCCCTATCCTTGGGTTTCTGATTGATTCAAGTTAATATAATAGGGTTAAAAACTAAATTT